ATTTGACATTAACATCGTTTTGGTCTAAGGTTTGAAAATTACAAAAAAACCACTCCTTCCATTATTAAAAAATTATAAAAAATAAAAATATATTATGGTTGCCGTCGTGGACTATGCTTTTTCATTATCTTGTTTTTTAATTTTTATTTTATTTTTTAATAATTATTTAAATTGGGAGAGGTGACATATTTTTGTAATTTTAGAGTTTAAACCAAACGGTGTTAATGTCAAATGTCTGACAACTAACAACAAGGGCCACATTGAGATAATTTTTCAAGTGCATGGGGGGAAATCGATGCAATCGAGAGTAGAAGAACGTAAAGTGATACCAAGCTAAAGTACAAAGAGTGGATAGGAGAATTTTCTCTTTTTTTATTTATCAAATCATACTTCAAAAAGTAAATTCATAATTACATTTGTATGAATGTTATTGGGTAAATTATGAAAATCCCTTGAATTTATATTAAATAATGAAAAATACACACACCTATCTGTAGTAACCAAAATTCTCTCTATTAACTGTTGATCGAGTTTTTTAACAGAAAGTGTGTACAGTCTATGATACCTTATGTTAAATAGGTGAGAAATAAAAGAAAATATCTTAAATTGTGTAAAGTTTATTCCCTATAATCAAAAAAATCAATGAAAAGTCATATTGTAAGAGGTTGGTGTAAGATGGAAACAAATTTCGAGGGTTTTGGAAATTACGAATAGGTGGAGGTGGTTTTGTAATTTAATCTAAGTTTAGGCAGGGGGTGTGTGTAATTTACCCTAAAAAGAATATTGAGCGTGTTGGTGTAGATAGACCAGATCCAGTGGAAAGCTACGTCTCAATATGCTATGAAAGTTGTGTTATTCTGTTTGCGGCGATTATTTTATTTTAAATATTTTTTTATTTTCTGTAATTGATTGAGAGGCGACAAAAAGGAAAAGGAAAATAAAACCAGGGGCAAAAATGGTATTTACACTGTTGCTGGATATTTACTCAGGCAGTGAAAAAAAATTCAAAACCAAAACATTTTATTTCAAAATATGCTGAAAACGGGAATAAATTTAAATTCTTGACTGGAAAGTATGTCTCATTTAATTCAATTTTGCTAATGAAAATTTGTAACACGTTCAATTTTGTTTTGTTTGATAAAGACTTTAACTTTACTTGCAAAATATAAAGTATGTGTACACGGTTTCGATTTCAGTTTTCAAATTTCGATTTTTGATTTTCGGTTTCGGTTCATTTGTATAGTATTATTATATCTACAAAAAAAAAAAATTGGGTATTTAATATTCATTTAAAGGAAAAAATACTGAAGGTAAGGAAATAAAATAGTCATTATTTTGGTAGGTCCGAAAATCTCATTATGGGAGACAAAATGTAATTTGAATTTGTTTCAGCTACAAAATTGGTCAAAGAAAAGTGTATGACTTGCATTTATTACGAGAAAATCCAATTGATTTGATCCTACACACGATGAAACACACTGCATGGTTATTAACCGTCGATCTGCACATATTCACAATAAACTTTTATATATGCATGTTTAGTGAATTGTTATTTATTCACGTCAACAATTAAAAACCACACTATCTGAATAAGCATAAAGCAACAAGTACTCGTTAGGAGTGGATTTGCTAGAAATTAATGTAATTCACTTTGTAATTAATGAGAGATAAGATTTATCTAATCTAGAGATCTTGCAATCAAGCAATCTTCAATTTTGTGTAGACCTTTAGATTTAGGTATGATATTGCATTAAATTTACAATGTATTTCCACAGCAAATTCGATTAATGAGAAAAAAAGTTACTCCATCTCCGTATTACGAAAACTTTATGTTCTTAACGTAACGTGCTCGATATTCGAGGACACCCGTCGGACACTTTACGGGTCATTTTGTAATTTTTGAAAAGTTAGAAATATGTTCGAATAACGAATTTTTGTTCCCAAATTCTCGTATCCATGCTTTTGGGAAATGCCGTTTCCATTGTCTATTTCCCCGTGTGGTCCTGTATCGTCGTTTCTGTGTTCGTGCTATACGGAGTTTTCATAAAAAGGACCGAATACTTAATTCCAATTTAACCCCTTTAATTGAATCAATTTTGAAGGGGCCCCTCTTTTAAATGATAAATGTTTAAAACTTAAAAGTGTAACTATTTGTTGAAATTGGTCTTTTAAGCAACCAATATTTTCACATCATGGTCAACGAGCAAATCGATCTTATTATGAATTAGCGGTTTAATCAACCAATTAGAATCTATTCAATTGAAACCGACCAACTTTAATGAAAACGACTATATATTTTTGCTATATTATTATTTATGTAAATGATGATATGATAAATTAAAGAATAAATTGTATGTCACCCTCTATAAATTTTGTATTTCTTATTTTACCCCCTCAAAATTTTAAAAAGTGAATGTTTTTTTTTTCAAAATGTGTTACTTGTTGCACATTGTCCCTTAAAAATATTATTTTCTACACACTGCCCCTTTACAATGTTATTTTTGTTGCACGGTGCCCACCGAAAATTAATTTTTGTGGCAAAGTGCAACCAAAACAATATTTCGAGGAGGATTATCTCTTTTTTGTATTTTTAGGAGGGAAAGTGCCGAAATAGAAAAAATTATAGGGGGTGAAGTGCATTTTGTCATAAATTAAATGTAATGCTAAAAAAATTAAAAAAAAAATGATAACAAACTTCACACAAATACTGAAATACATATATGTATACATAATATAGACCCACAGAAAAGTGAATTCTTCAACACAAAAAACACCCCATGTTCAAACAATTCAAACTTTTAAAATAAATAAATAAATAATTGCAATTCAAACAAAAGAAAACAAAAATATAAAGAAAGTGGTGTCCACGGTTGAAAGCTTACTTCTTTACTAGAAAGAAATCATCGTCTTTAATTTATCTCTTGCCCCATTATTGGCTTATCAATGCTGCCCAAAAAAAGGGGTTCAATCTTGTTGTTGTTGACCATGCTATCTTACCATGCACCACCAACTTTTGTTTCTTCTGCACAAATTAAATTTAATGTTGACCACTTCAAATGTTCTTGATTATCATGGGTTTGGATTCATTTATAAATCTTGCATACAATATACACAATTATTTTAATCACGTGGATTTGTCAAATACGTATGATTACGAAGGAACATGCAGCTAACCACATAAGTGTACTGTATAAATTTATACTCTCGTAATTATTACTTACTTTTTTGAAGTTTTGTATGCATGGTACATTGGATAATCCAGCGGAATAAATATTACGGGTCAATTTTTATTCGAATTTGGTCAATATTCTATATGAGTTTTTTTTTTTTAATAATTAGTATATTTATGTGTTTGTTTTATAAATTATAAGGGAGATTTAGATTCATGGATTGATTTAAATAAATATATAAATAAATAAAAAGGCTGATGTGAGTTAACTCTATATAGATGTAGGTATGATTAAAGCAATCAGCTTTGGGGGGTCTATATATATTTTTTTTTTGTTGATAAAGGGGGGTCTATATATAAGTATATATCAATTATGTGGTGAAATAATTCACAAGATCTAATACCATAAAAAAAGTAGATTGCATTGGCCCATTTATCAAACTTTATCCGTGCGTTTGTTTGGTTAATTAACAAAAAATAAAAAAATAAAAAATAAAATTAGGGATCCTAATCACTCTTACGTGGTGTTTGCAAATAATTATTTAAAAGTAGAAGTTAGTGATTGTGAGTTAAGTCAGTTTTAAATGCTTATTTTTTAAAGTTGAGGGTGTTAGCAAATATTTCGGAAAATGAACTTAAATAGAAAAGACATGGGTATGAGTGCTTTTAAAAAAATAGCTTAAAGCAGATTATTTTAAGAGAAACAAAAGCAAAAGTTGATTTTGCAAATACCGGAAAACAAATTATGGACAAAAAAAAGCTCATAATCACTTTTAAAAAACTTTTGCAAATACGACCTTAGAGTGTGTTGACTAAGATTATAAGCTGTTAAAAAGAGATTATATGATGTTTAAGCATTTATAAGTTATTTCAAAATGTTTGACAATATTTAAAAAAAAATCTTCAAAATTAAAAAAAAAAAGAAAAAAGAAAAAAAAAAGTTGTTGGTGAGCTTTTAAGATATTTTCTAAATAGTAACTTTACATCATATTTTTATTTAAGAGCTTATAACGAGTAAAAGTAGTTTATTAGCTTATTATTCAAACATTTTAAAAATTAATAATAAAAATAAAATGTAACAACTCTTAAAATAGTGTGTTAGACGGAAAAGCTTATCATCTATTTAAAATAATTAAACAGTCATAGTTTTAACTTTTAAGTTAGCTAAAACCTGAAAACCCGAGCCAGTTATAAACTTCGATTTTCCAGATACAAATTAAGTTTAAATGTTTAATTACTTTTCTTTAAACCTCAAATTATGAAATATATATATATATATTATAATTTTAGATAAAAGTGCCGAATTTTCGATAAAAGTACCAAATTTTCGGGTACAATTTGACCGAGACCTAAAAATAAAAAAATAAAAAAAATTAAATATGCATCCAAAATTGATGTGCAAATGGACATCAATTTAGAGTATATATAAAAATATGAGCCCAAATGATTTTAAAACGGGCCAAGATGCAAAACATTGGGCCGAAGATCCGGTTCAAAGAAGCCCACCCGGCCCGATCCGTTTTACTCTTGCCTTGAACAAAAAGAAAAGCAAATCAAAGTCACCCTTTTCCTCTCTACTAAATCAGAGAGTGAGAGACGAACACAGAGAGAGAGAGAGAGAGAGAGAGAGAGGAGATACATACAAATTTGTTGAATCTATACATTTCTGCTGCACAATCAAATTCACAATGTTCAGGAACCAGTACGACACCGATGTGACGACGTGGTCTCCGGCGGGGCGGCTGTTCCAAGTGGAGTACGCGATGGAGGCGGTGAAGCAGGGCTCGGCGGCGATAGGGCTGAGATCGAAGACTCACGTGGTGCTCGCGTGCGTCAACAAGGCCAACTCCGAGCTTTCGTCTCACCAGAAGAAGATCTTCAAGGTCGACGACCACATCGGCGTCGCCATCGCTGGACTCACCGCCGACGGCCGTGTTCTCTCCCGATATATGCGGAATGAGTGTATCAATTATTCCTATACGTACGAGTCGCCGCTTCCCGTTGGCCGCCTTGTTGTTCAGCTCGCCGACAAGGCCCAGGTTTAATTTAATTTAATTTTTTTTGGTTAAACCCTAAGTATTTAAATTTTCATTTGTACTATTGGGGGTTTTTTTTTGGGTGAATTTGTGTATACCGTTCTATAATTGAGAGCTAGGTTTAATTTTGGGGAATGTTAGTGTGTCCAATTCGTGAAAGGATCTGAAGCAGTAGAATAATTTGATATTCAGATGAAACTCCTAACTGTTCCATTTTGCATTTCTCGTATTTGTGTGGTGATTTTATCGTATTTGTGGGGCTTTTGACTGGGAACAATAGTACGAGAATTTCACAAATGGATGTGAAGAGAACTTGCAATGAACATTCACTAATCAACTTCTATAATATATTTATTCGACTCTGTAGGAATTTGTTTCTCCTGTACACTTGGAAATCGGAATTGACATTTAGGGTTTTAAAGAATGCATACGTTGGGGACTGAGGAATTGAGAGAATTTATTATTTTTATGTTTTTGAAAAATGCATGTCGGGTAGAGGAAAATTAATGAAGTGAAACTATAATTTGAATTTTGGTTTTAATGATGTCAAGATTCGGGGTTGTGCTACTTAAAAACTGATTAATTTCAAATGCTTCAATTTACAGGAGAAATCTTGTGTTTCCGTGACACGCTGCGCATGTCTTTATAAATCTTGTGCACATAGAAACTCTGCTCATAAAACTTTTTGGCAATATTTTTTAATGTCGCGTACTAGTTTATGGCCAAAACTCGCGTCTCAGTTTCGACTAAGTTAATCTAGCAGACGAAATTCTTGCCTCATGTCAAAGTTTGTGTTTCAGTCTGACCTGTAAAACTTTAAAGAATGTTTGTTCGCACAACCTAGTCAGATGTTTTGATCTAAACTCGTTTGATATCTAAATGTATGTCATGGAAATAGTTATTAACAAACTTGTTCCTTTAATTGTATGAGTTTTGTGGCTTTTGTTTATATAAAGAACAGGTCGTGATGTTTAGATAGGGGTAGATCTTCATTTAAATCCTATACACGCAACATCTCCTAACATTTGTTTCCTGAACTTGGTGATCGTTATTGCATATCAATTATTGATAACGATACAAGTCAGCCTTCAAATTGTATTCTCCATTTCTTGATGAACCAATGCTATATGCCTATATCTCGTTTGTTTGATGTTACTATTGAATCTGTCTCGTAAAATAGCTTCTGTTTCTAAGGAATTGCTATGATATATTGTAGAAAAGATTTGGAGATTCATGTGAATGTGTTTGTCACAAGTTTATCTGTGGCTTGTGCGAAAGGTTTTATGTTTATTGGTATAAGAAGTCGTGTTATGAGCTGGCACTATTATACTCGATTTTTGACTGGGCTTTCTTGTTTCTTGTGAATATAGTTAAAGGATAAATAGCATCTATTATTGGTCGCAAAATTCTTTTTTTCTTTTCTTTTGAAATATGTTACTCAGTAACCGGTTTATTATTATTATTTTAATGTAGGTCTGCACACAGCGTTCATGGAAGCGACCATATGGTGTTGGCCTGCTAGTTGGTGGTCTAGATGAATCTGGAGCTCACCTCTATTACAACTGCCCAAGCGGTAACTACTTCGAGTATCAAGCATTCGCTATCGGATCTCGATCACAGGCTGCAAAAACATACTTGGAGCGCAAGTTCGAGAGTTTCGTCGACTCTTCACGAGAAAATCTGATAAAGGACGCACTTTTCGCACTGAGGGAGACCCTACAAGGCGAAAAGCTCACCAGCTCAATTTGCACAATTTCCATAGTGGGAGTGGGCGAGGCGTTCCATACGTTGGATCAAGAAACCGTGCAAGGACTGATCAACGAGTTTGAGGTAGTCGGTGAAGAGCCGCCAGCTGATGAGGCTGCTCCTCCAGAGCAAGGCGCCGGCACTGAGGCAGCTCTGGCTCCGGCTGCCCCAGCCGCGGCTGCTGCTGACGAGGGCGCTCCGGCTGACCAAGGTGTTGCTCCGATGGATATTTGATGATGTCATTCTGCTTTGGTTTGCATTCTATAATGCAAGAAATTGAGTGTAATGCTGCTTAATCACCCCCCATCCCCACCCCCACCCCCCCTCTCAAACCCTGGAACAGAAATTGTTATCTAGACTGGATAATTTAAGGGTTAGTTATTTGTGATTAACCCTTTCTTTTATTTTGTTGAGCAGCAGACAGTATGCTTCTTCACTTCTACAATTTGAGTATTTATTATGCCTTGCTTTTATGTTTGAATTGGGGTACTATGATTAATTTCCTTTGCTATGTAAGATAATGGTATGATTAATTATTGGGTAAATTACAACCACCCTGAGGTATGGTCAATTTACGAAAAAACTTCTCTTTTTTGGATAATTACATCCCTCAACTATGATTTTTTCTTACACCTCCACCCTTATGGTGTCAAAGTCAACATAATCATCTAGATTTCGTGGAATGTGCTATAGTTTGTATTTTTATGTGTAAAAATACAGTTTTTGATGCACCACAATCTGATATACACGTCAAAAAACACATATTATGATCATCTTGCTTTAACATGTGGAGTTCGAATGTGATAAAATTGGTACAACAGTGATAATATTCCATATAATATCGAAGATTCCACTAAATTTGAAATCGCAAGGGTGGACATGTAAGAAGATTTATCATACCTAGGGGTGGTTGTAATCTACCCTTAATTATTATCTTTATCAACATAGTGAATATTTACATAATATTTACGGGTCGACCCGTTAAGTTATTAGTGATACCAAACATCAAACAAAGTTATAATATTTAGTTAATAATGGCTAATCTTCCCAACCTAAGGAGGCCTTCATGTTATAACATTGAGAATGCTTGATATAAATGGTAATTTGAATAAATTGAAAAATCAATTCTCAACAACAATTGTCTGCAAAGGTAGGTTAAAAAAGAAATGACTGGTTGCAAGGCATTATTAAAAAAACCAGTGCCCCTAAAATGCAACTCCGTAACGACAGTCGAAAATCAGCACTAATCCGTTTTAACTTTGGTAGAAATTGTTCGACTCGGGGATGGGTAGTCCTTTAGTCTGCAGCTGCTTATACATCCACTGCCAGTTATCGGGAGTTACCTCACCGCCGAGTGACCGTATCACAGAACCACCGCTGCAAGAACCGATTTTGCAGCACTCCTCCAAAGATAGTCCCTTCACAAGTCCGTATAAAAACCCGCTCGCAAATAGGTCACCTGCACCAGTTGCATCAACTGCCTTCGCCTCCCCAATTGCTGGAATTCGAACAACCTGTAATACAAAAGATTATATTTCGTGATACACACACACACACACACACACACACATATATGTATACATAGACAAAAAAAAATAAAAATCGGTGGGGCTAGATTGGACGTTCTCTTTTATCACATGATTTTTTGAGTTGGTAATTTCAGCCCTCTTTAACATTACGATTTTTACGACAATGTAATGATATGAACATACGACCCTATCGGCAGGCCAATACGGCCCAACCGGATCTCCAAAATAAATAAGGCCCACAATTGGGCCCAACTAGGGTGGAAATTGGAACGGAAATTCCGAATTGCAATCCGAATATTTCCAATCTTGGAACATCATTTTTCATTCCGAATTCTGGGAGTTTGGATTTCCAATTTTTTGACTTTTTTTTAAACATAAATGGAACACGCATTAAATTCTGATCTTCGATCCAATTTTAATTTCCAAAAATTACACTTATAATATCAATTTTATTATGTATTGGGCAAATTCTGATCCATTTTTTTTCCATTACAATTTCCGAAATTCCGAATTTTTCAATTTTGTTTAGGACAAAATTTGTATTAGCTTTTCACTTCCGGAAAAAAAAATATTTTTTCTTTTCGGAAGTGCTAATTTCGATCCAATTCGTTCGATTTCCACCCTTAGGCTCAGCACAATTAAGAATAACCGATTCTAAAGTAAAGAGGATTGAGCAAAGAAGTGCTAATTACTAAACACACCTCTTTTCCGTGTTTCGCAATGCATCCCTTCGAGCCTAATGTGACCACTGCCCACTGGCAGTGCTTCGACAGGAATTCAAGAGCGGACCCCGCATCCGCATTTTCTTCCCCACTGCAAACTCGAAAAAATCAGTAGCAGTTATATAATCCACAAACTGACAATTTACAAAACATAACATAAAGATTCTGTCTTTACGAAACTGTAGACAAAAGAAAAAAAAAGAATCGGCTTTTTTTTTACCTCACGAGTTCTGCAGCTTCATCCTCATTGGCCAAACAAAGGTCAATGCTCCCCGATTCTAGTAACTGTAAAAGTTGCGACCTGAACTTCCGCACCATCTGCCGAGTTTTTAATATGTATTATTATTAATTGGTATTATATAAAATAAGAAAATATAATAGTGCATGATATTAAAAACCGGCCCTTCGAAAATTTAAAGGTTTCCAACGGTATTAATTAACCTCGAAACTGGCAAGATCGAGCGAAACACGAACGCCTTCTTGCTTGGCAATCTTAATGGCTGCTTGAATTACTTCTATGTTAAATATTGCATATCTCACCACTAGCCACTGTTACATTGAAACCGAATTAGAACCACGATCGATTCCGATGCCAATAATTTAAAAAAAAAATCGAGAAATTATTCGTATTACAAATGTATCTTATTACCTTCGAACCTCTCAAATCAGCTGAAGTCAAATCATTTGCCTGGTAAGAAGAAAATGAAGACCATCGTATACAATTCGTGAGATTCAATTTACGATTTTCAAGAACTCCAAAAAAAAAAAGATCGAAATTTTGAGTAATACCTGAACTTTTACGGCACTAGAGAGACACGGACGCATTGTACGATTTCCCAATTCATCAACTAAGCAAACGCACTGCATCGTAAATAAAATCCCAAGAAATTAAATCCCACTATTTAAACATCTTATTACACAACAACAACAACAACAACAACAACAACAACAACAACAAGGGCTAACTAATGCAGAAAGCGCCACCTGTCCCGTATGCCCGTTTTTCAGCCTCAATCTCGAGAGATCAATTTTATAGGAGCTCATATTGTCAACAAACAAGCTTCCTTGATCATCGTTGCCACACGCCCCAATTATCCCACAAGTGATTCCGAAACCAGCCGAGAGACCTCTAATTGTGTTTGCAACACTCCCACCTGCTATCGTCTTCAACGGGGATGAATTATCCGGAGAAGCTACATTGTGTGCGTTGACCTCGGTCAATATGGACTTTAGTTCGTCGAATGCAACCTATTAAAACCAATGATAATCGATACATTCAAAATGAAATGAAATAAAAAATCAAGAAAAGGTCGTAAATTGACATCACTTTACACGATGCTTGGTGTAATTGATATCGTGCAATGTGCTGGATATGGATTTAACACGGGATCTTGAAATACGCGGTGACACGATTTTTCCGAATAGAATTCATTCGAAAATAAATACAGGCATTCATAAGACTTCAAACACAAAAACACTAAATAGAAATTGCAAAATTCAAAATCCCAACGAGACATTTCAAAATCAAAATCCCAGATAAATTAAAATTAAAAAAAAAAAAAAAAAAAAAATCCAACTTTATAATGATTCCAAATTTCAAATGGGAAATCCAATTAACACCATCAATAAAAAATAAAAAATTAAATTAAAAATTAGCAACAACATATAACAGAGGATGAGGAGGAGGGTGTACAGGGAAGGAGCCACCGGCCTCCCCGGGAATCCGGGAGAGGAGGGACCAATCAACTCGCGCCACGTGGTCAACCAGGGCTGAAGGCTGTAGACCCAGTATCACCGGCGCCGGAGCAGCAGCATCAGCAAATAGACCATTCCGGTTGTTTTTTGGGGGGGGATTTTCAACCCCCATTTTTCCCTTAATTTCCGGGGGGTGGGTTTTTGGGGTTGGTTTGGGGGGGGGGGGGGGGTGGTGTGATATCGCCTCGTAGTTACCCTCAGGTAATCTGCTCTGCTGCTGCTTTCCACTCCTCCCCTCCTCAACGTTTCTTCATCTTGTATATATATATATATATAGATACAGACACTCTATATCTATACCGCCCCCGGAAATAATATATTATTTAATAAATTAAATAAATATAGGGTTTTGTAACTTATTTTTACTAACCCCTTTTCTCTATGGGTTTCTAATTTTTAATCCTCGTTTAAGGTTTACTTACACATTTTATATATTAAAAAAATTTATTAATTATTATGTTGACAAAAAATAAAAGTTAATACTTTATACCAAAATGTATCATAATTAATTAGTAATATAATCTAGTCTTATGTGTATTGGTCACAATTAACAATAAAATGGTAATATTGGTGAAACAATTTATAATAATGTATTGGTGCGCTAAATCTCGTACTAAAATTTATTAAATACCGCACACAAATTGAAAACAAAAACTCTCTTACCAAGTTTTCTCGGTAGTATTTTCAAGTTCATTCAAAAGATGAGTTTCTTAAATATTTATTTACACCTATGAATTATTTATTCAATTTATTAAGTATTTCTAATTATTAAATATTTTTTAACACATTAATTAATATTTCTTAGATGATTATTTATATTAATTAAACATTTAACAAACATAATTAAACAATTAATAAATAACTGTATTAAAAAAATAATTCTTAAACTCCAGTTTCCTGCACGACCCCCATCCCATGATAGCACACTCTTCCTTCCATCTCCAGCCACTCATCAAAGGCTACTTCGGACGACGACCCTACCTCATCGGATATCATCTAGGA